GTATTTAATGTTCGGCTCCGCCCGAACTTAGACTTTCTTACTTGTTTTTATTTAACTTTACTGCAAAAGCATTTATGTTTATTAACTTAAAATATGCACCGAAAGAACTCAGGTTTTATTCTAGTTTTTGCGAGAGTCACTGTAAGTGACTGTAATATTATCTTGTTTTAAATCTTCTGGAAATCCTAATAGACTAGTATTTAAATTGTTTTTGCATCTTTGTACTTGAGAAGATATGGAAATAATAAGAAATATGTATGTTTGCAGAGTAAAATTTGCGCTGAAAACAAATCTTCTGCAAAATCAAATTGGAAAACTCTGTACTAAATGCTCATTGCTTATTGAAACTACATACATATATCTTAAAAATTGTGTTCAAAACTAAGGTATGACGGAGATAAGTTCATCTAAAGTACTATCACAAGCACATCCGGTGGTTTCTACAACTTCGTTATTTTAGATACAAAAATGTTAACGCATTTATCTCTGTTTCTGTACCAATGGTGTATAGAAAATGCTCGCATAGATATTTTCTAAAAAAAAACATTCCCAATGATTACAGGGGTCACAAATTTTAATTTTGATTTTGTTCTCCAGACGCCACTATCCAATTTATATGTAGAATCGCTCGCTGATTCCGAAAATCGAGTTAATTTTTTTATGGATACGTTTTCGAGATATTTGCAATTTACCGTTATTCAGCTTTAAAAAAAAAGAGATTCCACTTCATCATAGCATATATCTTACGAACCAATTAAATAATCGTAATAAGAGATACGGCATATGAAAGCAAATAAAATTCTCCATAAACCGTATATACATCACTTTTCGATAGACCTGACAGTTTCTGAGAAGTGTGTTCTACATAGGAATTGGCTAGTGGCATCCATAGAACATTTTTGCTGTAAACGAGTGTTATTAAACTTTTCATAGTTTGGTGTAGACTTGTAACAGCTGCTATAAAGTTATAGTGATAGGAATACAATCAGATGTAACGGGCAGAAAACTCATCTGTTTTACATGTTGCAAAAATTTTCAATAAAGTCCAAGCAAATTTATGATAAAAATCTTAAAAGATGAATATTTCAAAGTAAAAATTACATGTTAGTTTCGCTTTATTTTCATAAACTGATTATCAAAATTTAGCCCAACGCTCAATTTGCAATAGTTCACAGTAAGTCGCATAATTTATTACTAAAATTAAATGAAGATCATTACCAAGTCAATGCAAAATCTTTCAATAAAAATAAAAACACTGTGCACGTCACACTTATTTATTAGGTAAATATGCAAAAGGCAGCTAAGATCTATTTTTTTATGTGGCGTCAATAATATATTAACAATACAAAGAAAACATGGAACTAAGTTTTGCACTGGCATCTTTA